AGCTGAGAACTTCTGCACATTTGAGGTGAATTTCAAGTTTGTAGGACCAATTTGAAAAAAAAATAATAAAAATAAATAATAATAATAATAATAATAATAATAAATAATAATAATAAAACACAGGAATACAATAGGTTCCCTGCTGACAAGCAGCGGGAAGCCTAATAATAATAATAAAACACAGGAATACAAAAGGTTCCCTGCTGACAAGCAGCGGGAAGCCTAAAAAGTTGTTACTGATATAGTTGTTAAGTATATGGAAACCTCTCCTATTTCAATTTGTGTAAGTAGAATATTTGGAAAATTTTTCATCTGAAAATTGTTCATTCTGTGTGAAAAATTGTTTTCCCTATTTCAATTCACAAATCTTTTAGAAAATTCTCTTTTTAAGTCGAACATTTGGTATTCTGTCAAGTTTAAAGAGATTTTCTTTTTTACCTGCGATTTCCAGCATGGCAATGTTTAAAGCCAAGAGCAAATATCTGTACGAACAAACATTATTCAAATGAATAATAAAAAGATAAAATTGAAATGAAAATGGATTCGACGCTATTTTCAAATTGCATTCACTGAAATAATTACATACGCTCCTTCTCGTCTCAGTCGATCTGCTGGTCCTTTCGATTCGTCATATCGGTCACCGTCGGTGAATACCCAGACCAAATCTTTAACATCGAGACGATTGGTTTTGTAGGGAAGCGAGTTTTCTCTGACTGAGTCTGACATAGTCTAAAAAACTAAAGCGTCTCCGAGGATCGTTCCTATAAGTTTATAAATAAATATTATCATAACTTATTTGAAGTTTCAAGAAAGTGAAACAAAACAAACTATTGTCAGTACTGAATGAAGTTTGGGACCGGATGTCTTTTTTTAGTATATCTATGACTTACACAGTTTGACGTTACATGAAGTATTCTAGATATTTTTAAACCAAAAATGTGCTTATAGTACACCTGTGCTAAATCAAAGTTCTCTAAATCTCTTTATTACGTGGATCATAGCCAAGAAAGATTCTTCTACTATTAAGAAGTTTTCTATGTTTACGATCATCTTTTAAACAATGTCGCAAACGATTTATGTCGCAAATTTAAGTGTAAAGGTGCTTGAAAACATGATCATAACTATTCTTACCTCTTGAAGGTGACAGAAGATTTTTGATAGTTTCTATTGATGCGGACTTGTTTCCGAAATATGCTGTATCTCTTGTGTAATCATGGCTATCAAAGTGAACAAGGGAGAATTGCACTTTATTTCCATTGAAAGATCTGAATGAAATAAGTTTAGCTTGAAACACTAAGATGATAATTTTTGCTGTACCGAATATATCGTTACTAGAAATTTTGCTAGAAGAGCACTAAAAAGAAAACGTACACTTTTTCTTCCCTACCATATGCTATTTAAAATAATCTTTTTTGTAACTTTGTTGTCATAATCTTCAATTGAGCTTGACAAATCTACGACAATTACAATGTCTTTTTCGGCGTTAGTGATACAACATTCTAAATAAAATTATGGATTATTATCTTATCAAAGTACCCAATTTAGAAAGATAATTACTTGCTAACTTACATAAAAAGTGTAGCATCTTGTTAAAATATTCTTACCAATTCCACGACAGGATAATTTCTGACTCCATTCAATTCCGTCGATAGTTGCAAGTCTTGGTATTCTAGCTAGGTATCAGTTTATGTCCACGATTGCACTTAAATCTACAATCTGTACCTTCTTTTGCTTTTTCCGTTAAACAATTTATCTTTTCGCTTGAAAGTTTGATTAAAAGCGAGCATCATGTGAATTTTTAACTTGTGGAAACGTCTTGTGATTTTGAACTAGGCTGTGTCTAAATGTTTAATACCGTGGCGCGGTGTGTAAAGTAAGCATAGTGCATGATCTGCAACTATACAAAGCTGAATCTAAAGAATATCAACAAATATTCATTTTTTTTATCTGTGAAAACCCAAAAGTCTCACTTCTTTGGCAGAATTAATTGCACTTATCATTATCGAAAATTTTTCCCAGTTCCATGTAGGGTTGAGTAATATCATTTATCTTGATCACATTATCCGTACTTCTAGCTATTTTACCTAAACTTTTCATCGATATTTAATTTTTGCCCGTTTGTCTAAGGCAGTGGTTCTTAAACTTTTTGAGCCACGCCCCCCTTTTTTTGCTTTAAAAATGCTTTTGTGATGGGCAGGTTGCTATATATTAAGATGGCGCAATAAGAGTGTTAGTATCATGCCGTCATTGCTCAGATTGTTTGGGCATAAAACGCTTCGGAGTACAACTTTGTCATTCAATGTCGTATGTATAAAACCAAATAGTGGTTGGTCACATACAATCTCGGTTTTCCGCTCAGTTTGCAATACCTGGTAAAGTCAGACTAATTTTTAGGTAAAACTAAACACGCAATAAACCTATGCTTTAATGTATTTTCTGCTTGAACGTTTACATAAGATACGTAAAATTTCAATCAATTGTTTACTTCATCACTATTGAGCGATACCAAAATTATTCACTGTGTGTTAAAAATAAGCAACAATTACAGACTTCTTGGCTTGCCTAACGTTTCAAATTGGCAATAATGTTACATGAAAGTTTTATGACAGGTTCTTGAATTCGTACAACCCAATTAATAAATTAACTGATCTGTTTGAGATTAGTAATATAGGTATATCTCTAATACGTCGCATCCCAGTATTAGAAACACTTCGATATATTTTCAGCCTATATTTTCATACTCCCTTTCATACTTCCACCCGGACCATCCATGTTTCTGACAGCTTTTTGTATCGCACGAGTGCATCCATTATAAGCACTGAAGAAAATCGAATGCTTGTCACACACTTGACTTGCAAAACAAACCAAAAAAAATGGATTTCAGTGGGTTTGATTGATCAAAAAAAGTTATCGCTCACAGAAAAGTTGTCCAACAAATAAAATTATGAGGGTTTCAAGTGCAGAGATGCGTTAAAGAAAATTTATGTGTATTTTGATATATCTTTGCTCTTCTATTCAACTAAAGCGCGAGTTGGTTTTATGCTAAAAATATTTAATGGATATCATTCAATAGATACCAACCGATCAAATAATATTTTCATATAGATTGAAATTCAGAAGGTCAATTGGCATTCAGTTGGTACTATATGATATATATATACATATATTTATAAAAAAAAAAATTGCTCAAATATATCTTATTTTTTCGTTTAGATTATGACGCTTGCCTTGTAAAAAAACTTTTTTAACAAAAGGTAAAATTGTGATATATCATCGAAACATTGCTACTTGATAGGTTTTAAGAAAATAACGCTGCGTCAATTTTAGAATGTATAATTTATTGAAGCGCTTATCCAAGAAATATGTGTCAATATGCTACCAAATACATTTCAATCGCTAAACATTGTAATTGTTACGTTAGTTAGACGGCGAAGAGTGATGTGAATTAAAACACATTTAATTACATAACTAGTGTCCACAGTCTTCGACAAGTTTTAAGCGGGAAAATTTGATGTAGTTACGCATGAACAAACTTTTGCTAGACCGAGGAGTTTTGATTTTCGCGGAAGTATACTTTTACAAGATTGAGATTTTGCATCAAAAGATTTATACCGTAACAACACTGCAATATCCTCCAAGATATGAATCACGCCAGTCTTGTTAGCCGGGATAGGTAATATATACCACTAATGGTTGGTTTTCTTTCGTCAATATATGATTAGCTAAAAATGTCGGCAATGAAACTATTTGCACCTTTTTTTCGAAATTAGCGCAAAAGAGTATTTCTGCAACTGAAAATACCTTCTTTGTAGTTGTTTCGGTTGTAGTTGCCATGAAATTTGGTCTATAACACAAACTTTGATGGATTGGAAATGACCGTGGGTGCAAATGTTCTCTGGTGCAATTGTACGTAGTGCAAATGAATGTGAGTACAAATGTCCTCGAAAGCAGATTTTCATGAATGCAATTGTATGTGGGTGCAAATTTCTTCCAGGTATGGGTTAATATGGAATTTAGACCACAAGGTTCTTCAACTAAATGATTTGGACTAAAAATATCTATTAAATAACCGTTTTTGCACCAAGCGAACTAGCGTAGGTATTAGTATTCTTTGATTCTCTCCGTTAATGAAATGCTTTTAGAGCGACAAATACGCCAGGAAAAAGCTGGAGCAGAATATATGAAAAAAATAACGAAATTGAGACTTTGAAGTCGCGTTTCAAGTTTCATGTTAAGGTTTCATATTTGAATGATATTTTTTCTTGACTAATATATAAGATTAATTAATAGGTGTTTGTATAAATCTGATTTTTCAAGAAACAGTATGTCTAAGTATGTTGTAACAAACTAATATTATAGTGAATATGACGTGTCTTGCATAATGGTTTTACTAGTGCCTCGGGCTTTCCTAAGATATTTCCATTTCATAAACATACAATAGTAAAATATTCTGGGAACTTTTTTGGATGGATATAGAGGCGTAACTGCAATTCCATGACACCTTTTGTTCAACTTTCAAGCTGTTCCTGGAAAACGTATGACTTAAGAAGTAAATCCGCAGAAATAAGTAAATGTTATGTGTTTGCCCAATCAAATAATTGCTATATTCAACTCACTCCTCGCAGTTTGTTAATGATTGTCTGATCACTCTGCTGTGTCACGTTTTGTTATAGGTCTTTAATAATGCAAATGTATATTTGTATCAGCCATCGTATGTTATTCTAATACTTACTCTTCATATTCTTTTTTATCGCATGACTACAAATTTATAATCAACATCACCGGTAGGAACAACTTTATTTTCATTGTTTATTATATTACTATACCCGATTTTGACACATTTTGTGTTCGACGAATCACAATTTGACTCATTTTATTGGAGACTAGATTTCCTGATATAAATCACCATTTTCACTTATACTACCGTGGTTGTACTGAAATTTTCCTCACCTCAGAAACCAACAAAATCTTCAATTTTATTTGTCTTGAGATTTATTTGTACATCATGAATTATGAGTGAACTTGAATCAAAAACGAAAATATTTAAAAACTTCATGGAAGTTCTGCAACGATGATTTATGAAAAAATCAGAAATGCAGAGAAAAAAAAATACATTATCTTGACCAAATAATTCTGAAAATAAGTTAGTTGCCTAAATCAATAATGTTGACATATTAGCATTAAGGATATGATAACGTGAAATTTTCAGTCAGATTTTTAGTATTTTTATCTGCTCTTTCATAAATGAAACAGTCGGACTTAAAATTATCATTTGAAAAATGATACCGAAGCAGAATACCTTTAGTAAAATTAGAAATAGTTTCTCTCTCCCATGACAATTTTAGTCTCCGCAAGAAGATTCGCATATTTTGTTGACAATTCTTTTTCTAAGTTGCTCAGTAAGATTCGACATTCCTTTTATTTCAATCACATTTTCATCGTTTCCAGTTATTTCACGCAACTCTTTCATGGATATCTGAGCCTTTCCTTCCTGTCTTATTCCTAGGGCGAGAATCTGCAAAAGCAAAGATTAAAATAACAATACAAAAACAGAAGGTTTGGATTCTTTGTATTCAATCAGAAAAAGATAAATGGCTAATTCATATCGTCACGCTAATAACCGAATTGCGTAAGTCATTTTTGGCAATTTTGAGTTTTTTATAAAATAGGTATTTATGTAATGCTGCGCAACTGTCTGTTAACTCAGATTTTATTTTAAGAATTCCGAAACCCTTAAAAATGGAGATTCAGTATGACATATACATTTGTGCAATTGTTTCGTCATAATGAATTATCATTGTTACCACAGGACTATTGTGACGTCACAAAGGCAAAACAACTTCTGCGAAGTATTTTCGAGTTTTTGCATCTCGAATTCTAGCTTAGCGCGTATTAATTTGAATTTATACTACAGTATAGAAAGACGTGCACTTGTAATATTCACTGTCCGAGTCCAATTCACCTTGGTTGCCTTTTATATTGGGTGCATTGCTGTTTTATTCTTTATATTTAATCTTAGTCTTATTTCGGTGGGTGTGCAGAACGTGTTATATTGATGAAATATATATTTTTAAACATGAAAAATAATGTAATTAAAACTGATTAGCTATTTTGGGGATTAGACATTGTAGATACTGAGAATTACATTCGTTTCTGGAATGTTTAGTTTTCAGGACTGGTGTATATAGTAAAGTTGCAAAATTGTCACAGTGAGACATTATGACGTCACTTAACTGCGTCATAAAAATTAACGTAAATCCGGCTACGATCAAAAAATTGAACCATGGCAAATTATTGACTTTCAATGTCATAACAATATCATTAGGAAGTTTTTTACGTTTTTCTCGAAACTGCTAAAAATTACTTACGCAATTCGGTTATTAGCGTGACGATATGTAACATTCCATTTTTTAAAGTTTATATCACAAAGATACAAATACGCATCGCGTGTCAAAATATCAGTAACGGCACTCTCAAAACAACTATATTCAAGAAGAAAGTCAGGAATATATAAAATTTTCGAAAAAGTATCAAAAAATTGAACAATCATTACCTCCACTCCACGATTTCTTAATCTAGCTGCAGGTCCTTTGACTTCATCACTTGCAGCACCGTCTGTCACTACCCAGACCATATCCTTGACGTTTCGTCTGTTTCCCTCGTGCGAAAGAACATCCGTTTTAGCAAAATCCAAAGCTTCTCCAAGAAAAGTTCCTAAATTATTGTCAAAAGAAAGGTTAGAATATTTTACACCATCATAACAATGTCTTTTGACAAACTTAAATTGAGATATTTACTCTGTCATTTATGCAACATATCACTTATTATAGTAATTCTCTAAGAAATATGAAATACATTCACGAATGCTGAAACTGAATTATATATATAACTTATAACATCTATGAAACTTGGTTGCATGTGCATTTTTCTCTAACAGATAGAATTTTAGCAACACAATGTTTGGCGTCAATATTGATCGCTTACTTCCGCCTGGGCCGTCCAGATCCTTCACCGCTCGTTGCAACGCTCCCTTGTTACTGCGATAATCTCCAAAATATATCGTATCTTCGACAAAAACCACGCTTCCAAAACGGATTACTGAGAACTGTACTCCGTTTCCCTGAAAAGACCTAAAACAAAAATCTTTATTTACGTACTGTAATGTATATATTTTTTTTCACCGACATGTACAAAAAATCTGTTGTGATTTTGTGACTTGTAAAACTCAAAATTTGGAAATTATTGCAATAATCTAAGCGGATAAAATTGAGAGCGGCATTTGAGAGCGGGGTAAACGTTAACTACAACCGGGGCCCACAAACACATTCTGGATGTTCTATGAGCTTTGCATAATGTGGAAACAAAATAACAAAATGAACGCCATTTTGGTCTAGAAAAAGCATCAAATCAAGATCAACGCTGTAAACCATGCTACAGGCTGTACCAATTTTTTATTAACTTGAACAACGGCGAATAGTTTAGAACTTTGAACGATAAAAATGACTCATAAAAACATGAAACAACAGTCGAACAGTAGAACGTAGATGGCAATAGTCAATAGTTCGACATCTGTGCAAAAATGAAAAGGTTGGAAACCACTGTTGAAGCCTGTCAAATTATTAAATTAGGAAAAAAAGTTTGGGGCTAATCTGCGTCAGCATATAAATTTTCGCGCAAGTTTTTTCCATCTTGAAATGAGACAACTCTATAAATTTCACTTTTTACTTTTGTATACTCCACTACACTCACCCAATGACTTTAGCGATAAAGTTTTTCATAATTTTGTATTGATCTTTCTCAATAGATCCCGATGAGTCCATCACTATTATAATATCTTTCTTGGCGTCGGATGTGCAAGTCTCTAAAATAAATAGATCAAATTATTGAATTTCAATAAAAATGGAAAGTAAGTAGTAAAATTCAGGGCGAATTGCTAACACAAGTATGTGAAGACGTCTATTTCACAGAAAGATTAATTTGGTACGAATGATAAAGATATTTTGAAATCATACTGTAAACGGACCTGTCCCACAGCAGGGTAGCTTTTCTGTCCATTCAGCTTTACCGCCAGTAGTTGCCTTGCAGTCAGTCTTCTTTCTCCAGGTAGGCATTAGTTTAAACCCGCGTTTACATTCGAATGTACAACTGGTGCCTGCTATTGCCTCTTCAAATGAACAAGTTATCTTACCATTTGGTAACTTTGGCAGAGGTGGACATTGTGGCGGTTTCACTGCAGATAAATGTTATAAATATGAAAAGTATAATTGATGATATCGCTCCAGGCGAAACGGTCTATAGTAAATGGTCTGTCATAAATAAATGCTTGTGGGTTGCAAAATAATAGCGGTGAATTCATCGCATGATAACGAAACCCAGAAAACGCATGCATAAAACCCAAAGTCTGCAGCTGTGAATTGTGATAAATTTCGCAAAATAGAGATCTCAAGTTCTGGCGATTAAAACATGTCCAGGGAAAATAAGTTTTGCTCTTGGAGGGGCTTTACCTTCTTCACATGACAGATCGCACATTTTACTGACGATAACTTCTCTGAGTTTGTCCGTTAGTTCTGACATTCCTTTTATTTCAATTACATTTTTCTTGTTCCCAGTAATTTTATTCAATTCTTCCACGGATATCTGCGCTTTTCCTTCCTGTCTGATTCCAAGGGCGACAATCTAAAAGATTTCGTAAAAATCGAGATTGAAATGTCAGATCATCGTCTGCTTAGCTATATATATATCAAAAATCTTATCTAAATATATATCATTGTGTGGATATCACTGTGTGGCCCACACGCAGTTGGTACAAAAGTGATAAGCAGAATACGACACCAAAGTCAGTAAAGATTACGTTCGAGAAAAAATTAATCCTTAAATACCTTAATCCTTTTATTCTAATAATTTTATTCGAGAACGGAGTAGGAAAAGACAGTGATCTGTTGCAGTTAAATTAATTACATAGCAAACTTTAACACAATACTTATTCATACTTCCACGCCATCATCTCTCAATGCCTTAGCCGGTCCATCAACTTCGTCACTGGCTGCTCCATCCGTTACAACCCAAACCATATCTTTCACATTTTTTCTGTTACCATTTCCCCTGGCAAACATCACCTCTCGGGTATATACTAGTGCCTCTCCGAGGAAAGTTCCTATAAAAAATGCATTTTATGTGAAAATGAATAAAGTTATATAGTGGAGCATAATATAATTTATCGAGTAAACAAACCGTCTTTCTGTGACAGACAACCTATCAAATTCTTTGCCGATATTTTAATTTGTTCGGATCCCTCATTTTTCTATCAAGCGAAACGCCTTATCACAAGTGATCGCGTCGATTCACGGATATTATGTATGCGTCTGTGCGCGCCTTATTTTTCTTTCAGTTAACGAGCACTTAGACTTCGCATTATAAGAAAGATCAGCGCTATTTAAATTGGTTAGCTCATTTCATGAAGGACTGAATCTGCAAAAAAGTGAATGAATCGTATTTCTATACATTTCGGGTTTGCGTTGGATTATAAATTAATTCGAATGAATAGTTCGTTTTAGTAAATTTATCGCTAATTATATAGGTATATTCAACCAGTTCATTGGACTTACTTCCCCCAGGGCCGTCCAATCCCCTCACCGCTTTTTGCAATGCTTTTTTGTTTCCATTAAAAGTTCCAAAAAAAATTGAGTCTTCGTCAAAGACCTGACTAGCAAAACGAACTACAGAAAACTGTACTCCATTTCCTTTGAAAGAGCTGAATAAAAAAATTTGACGTGGATTTTTTTATAGATTGACGAAATTCCCATACAGAAATTTTTAAAAACTATGTTAAAACAACCAGAGAGCATATGATGAACTCATATACTTTATAATCATACCCAATAACATTCGCTATAAATTTCTTCATGATCTCATACTGATCTGGCTCGATCGATCCCGATGAATCCATAACAACGACAATGTCCTTCTTAGAATCAGTTGAACATCCTGTTTTAACAAATATAAATCAAACTATATAATGATCAATCATAACTAGATTTCGTTTTGAGGTATATCTGGCTTGGTCCTCACTCGCTCGCCATGACTCAATACGAGCAATATAAGGCTTATTTTACTTCAAAATCGTTTCTGAATTGATTTCTGAGAATAGAATCATACATTGAAATACAAATAGATGTCAGATTGTTTCACTGCCGGATTATGACAATTCACGTTCGACACTAAACCTTCACGAACCTCTACAACAAGGCTTCGATTTTGTCCATTTGCCATTGTCTTTACAGGTGCTTTTTGTATTCTCAGCTGGTATCAATTTGAACCCTTCGTTACATTTAAATCTGCACGTGGACCCAGCCACCGGCTTTCGTGGGCTACATTGAATCTTGCCATACTTCAAGATCCCTAGCGGTTCGCAACTGGATGCTAGGAAAAAAACATTGAATTTAAATTAGTGACCATAGTTAAATCCATACCGTAAGTTAACAAGCAATGCTCTTTTTAATTTGTAGATCTTGGCATTATGAAACACGATATTTCCCAGATAGCGGTGAGGCCAAAATGGACAACATGCACTTTTTTTTCGGAGGTAGGTGTTGGGGGATGAAATTTCAAACAGTTACCAATATTATATATGCACTATAACCAAGAATATGTATATATACATCGAAGTGGTGGACAGCATGAGGGTGATATTTGGATTTCGGTATTCATAACGTGGATAAATCAAATGATTTTTATAAGTACATTTGCTCAGTACGCCTTCTTGTCAATGTATAAAATCATTGCTCGTAAGATGCTATTTGCTTTATTATATATATATATATATATATGTATACCTGCAAATGAAAACTTTAGATTGGCGAAGCAGAATAATACGAAACAAATTTGTGAAAGCCACATTTTGAAAAAATATGACCACTATGTATCGCGAGGTGAACAAAATGACAAATTGACATCCACTGCATTGTTATATATATACATTCCTGAAAAAAGGCGTACCTCAAGCGAGCGGATTTCCAGACATAGCTTCCAAACGCCAAAGCAACGCTTCTATGTAGTTGTGCCCTACGCGTTATGCGCAAACAGACCGACACACTGTTGTCAAAATTTGGCAGATTTCACTTGGGCGGTTGATAAAATGATGGCCTATCGTTTACTTATAATATTATACATCTAAGTATCCAAATATTTGTATATATATATATCTTACTTCTTCAACACAAGAGGCCATTTCTTCCGGCAACGCTTGATACATAAATTTACAGCTCCGTGCTTTCCCTCCATTGATAGTATACTCCAGGGGTGGCCAACCTGCTTTCGACCGCGATCGACTACAATTTTCAAAATAGCTCGCGATCGAGTGATCGGTAATAAGTTCATACATAAAAACGAATGAGTACTGAATATGCAGATAACTGCACACACGAATACAAAAAATTACACTGCTGCATAAAAGCTCAGCTCTGCGGGCACACTCTCAATGAAATCGACACACAAAAATGTTTTTTTTTTACGTTCCCTTCAATTTGATTATGTAATTAATGTAATTAAACACGGAGTAAATTCATTATTTAATCAAATCATACAATTCAGATCTAAGGTCTGACTAAGTTTTAGACGTAAGTGTTGAGAATTCCTCAAAAAAAAAAACTTGACATATTCTTAAACCATAAATGTTAAACTGAACTAACTATCTATCTATTTTTCAATTTCCTCCGATTTTTTATTTGCTTGGAATTAGAAAACATTGGACCTCTGATGCCACTGCTACTGCTGCGAATAAAATTTATCACACTACTATTGGAGCGAGACAATAACTTCCGAATACTGCAGTTATTGTAGAATCGTTTGTAAGTCAAGGCACACAATATTCGGTAAGTTCATTTTTAAACCTTAGCGGCTGCGAAACTAATTTTCTAACTTATTAACACTGTGCCGGATTAGAGTATCGTGGGACTCGCTAAAAGCATTCCTATGCTTTTGCTGAAGTTATTTGTTGAACGCATGTGCTGATATGTACTATTTAATAATAAGAATCAATGTGATACCGGAAAGCTTGAAGAGTCTTGCATATACGTCACTTTATGTTGCTAATGTGATTTAAGACTTTCAAATCACCGCTTTCCTATTCAGTGACAAACAACAACTTACCTCGTTTTGTTATTACACATTTTCCCAAAACCAATAAAGGTTGCTGCGGAACATCACCCAGGTTCTGCAATGATTCTTGAATTATCATATATTTAGAGAAGGAAACTCACTCACGTAGTCATTCACGTTCGACGCTATCTACAAACAGTTTCATTTTTGCGGTATCTTTGCTTTAACGCTATTGTGAATTTTAAAAATTGAAAACATTTTTACCTCTTCAATTAAAACCTTCCAGGATCGGCCTATCCATGAATGGCTAATCTGTGTCATAATTTGAGATTATGGCTAAATTAAATGTATGCTAGGTATGAGTTTAACCATGATCCATGCATGATCCGAGTGATTTCAAAAAATGTCTTGCAACCCAAATACTCTGCGACTTCATTGTTCTCGCCGAGGGCCTAGAGACGGTGAAAGCATTGTATTTGTGTATTTTATTTGTTATTTTCGTCGTTTTACGAAGTCATTTTACGCCCTTATCATATTAGCTGTGTATATTGAGGTCAACTTTGCGCCAAATTTTCGCGATGTAAAGAAAACAAATAAATTTTCTTGTCAAGCTGTGAGTTACAATGCTGTTACAGCAAGTTCTGCGTCTGTTACATTCACACTGTGTTTACTTGGCAAGAAAAGATTTTGAGAGAGAAAGCAAATCAATCATTATCTCAGAAAACACAAACAAACAAGCCTAAACGGTTTAGTATTGCAGATGAGCAGTCGACAAGCGATGACTTTTACTTGAATAAATCGCGCCTGGTTTGTGTTATAAGCTTCACTCCTGTCTTATTTGTATGATGACGTTATCCGCATTACGATAAGAGAGAGAAATCGCTCGTTTCGCCTCTGAGGTTACTATAGGTTGCAGACTAAGAAACCTTCTTTCACAAAATTTTTTAAATTTCTCTCTTTTTCACGTCACTCGTCGAGTGCGTTGGTAACGTTTTCGCTCAAATAGCCGTAGTTGAGACACATGAGTGATGTTTTTGGCATTTTTGGTTAATGAAATATTAAAAAAATTATAGAGGGGTGTCAAAATGGCCATTGATCAGCCGATTACAAAGGGTTTTAATAGCTGGGATCCCGTCGTCGCTGATAACCCCCTCTCCCCCAATATCTAAGAACCAGTGAAAATATAGCAGTCGAAATAATGGCTCTGATATAATACGCAATTGCACGCGATCCTAAGATACTATGAACAAATGAAACAATTAAAAACAGCAGCATCCAGTCTCGTCTCAATTCTTGAGCTTATTAAGACTGCCTGAGAATATCAAAATTTTATTTATTGACTGTCGACTGTCAGTGGAAACAAATCGTCATGCTTATAAATGTCACAAATGATCTTTGTGTAAATGTACATAAATTGTCTCTGAATGCAAAATTTTGCATGAATTTGGATATATTTTGTTCATGCTGTTCATTGAGAAGCACAAGCACAAAGGTCCGAATCAAGTGAACATAACTATTTAAAATGTATAGTTTATAAATCATAGTTTGAAAATCGAAATTTCTTCAGAGGATGTGCATACTCATAGGACATAGGTAAACGAAACTTCCTTTGCCAAATGGTATAAAGAAAACTGTTGGAGAACACATTACAAATGAAAGAATACCAAGATTTCCGTGCTTGGTTACCGACTTCTACACGCACCGTCACTGGCAGCTAAACGACAGGTTTTGGTTCATTATAATTATGTCGTGTGATCTGGTTAACCTTTCCCTGTTCTGATATCTCTATGAAAATTTTCATAGAACTTTCATAGGTTCTTATATGCTACTGTAGCAATTGTTATCATCGTTGCTGAACTTATAAATGTGTAATTTTATCTTTTATAGCAAACTGTGTTCCAAAAGATAATCGTCATACATAGTATTTACTCGTTTTGAATCTTTTGTAGAAAGACCTCGCCAAAACAGCACAACGCAAAATGAAAAAAAATGTAAATATCTAGTTGGGGATAGGGTAAGGAATACAGATTGCACTGTATGAATTCCAATTATTCCGAACCCGAACTTTAATTGCATTATTGCTAATTTTTTTTATTTTGAAACGTGTCAGGGGTGTTTTTCTCTAATCTCGATTTTTTGCATTAGTGGCGGGGGCTTTCTACAAAAGATCTCTAGTTTTTACCAAGCAATAAAAGATTATATATATGAGAAACAGTCAGTCCTCTACGCAATTATACATCCGTTTTGAGATCATCTAAAATAAGACTGAATAATAATTTATCGTGGCGTTGCACCATCATTGAATATCGGCGACATTATTTGATGAAGTCAGTAATAAGAGTAATTTTAAGTCAGGGGTCCTGTTCCTTTTTTGGAAATAATCATTGTTAAAATGCTCTAAAAATGTATTTATAGAAAATGACTGAAAAAAAATCCAAACAATGTTTTTGAATTACTAGGCTCATTTCCTGTTGTGAATATCATTCTGGCTTTAATGTTTGTTGGAAGTTCCCCCTTCCAGTCCTTTGTTCTGTTGCACAAAACATCTTCTTCTCCTCAGATGGTTTATCATTCTTATCGGATTTCGTTGCTTGATAGGGTGGAACACCGAACCTGAAGAATATTCGCATTTTTTTTGGAAAGATTTCACTGTCAATCAAAGGAACAAAAAGTTTTTCTTCGGCATTTCTTGGGTTGCTAAAACCTGGATTAAAATGAAATAAAAAAATGTTTGAAATATAACATATATATTATTGAAAATTCACATATTCTTTAATTGATTTCACTTATCTTTCTGTCAATTCAGTGTATCTAATAAAACCAAATATTTGTAAACCTATCTAAAAACTAGAATTTAGTTTTGGTGCGTTGACGGTTTGAAAATGAAACTGTTTTTTTAGTGGCAAGTTCCTGCTTGAAATTAATATCTACGTATAAAGATATTTATTGAAAATTTTCATCATTTTTCGTTTTTATAATTTCACATAAACTTCTTGATAATGTTCGAGGTATTTAACAATGTTTGTAGAATTTCACATACAGCGAAATGGGACAATAGCCTCAGCGAAATGGGACAATAGCCTCAGGTTTTATTTGACAGGGTTACTGAAAAATGTTCCAATAGTATTTTCTGGGTCAATCTAAATTTAAATTCAGCTTCACTTTTAACTTATTTATAAAAATCCGAGTGTAATTGTATACATTTCCCTACATGAATTAGTAAACCCACCCGTGAATATCGAAGTTACATGAGCTCCTACAAGTAAATCCCAGAGCTCCATAGAGAAATGGGGAGATTGAGTATATTGTATTGAAAAGATTTGGTGAACTTCTGAAACAAAATTGAATTGAGATGACAAGTTTTGAAACTGTTTAATTATCCATCGTCTAATTGACTTGAACTTCGTTAAGCACGAGATCCGCCGACTTTAGCTGAGCACGATATATGCTAACGTGCGATCAGGGTAACGGTATCAGGACTAGTGTAGCTTTTCCGGGTCTCGTGGCGATGATTCATGTAAATCGCCAACTGTGCGGGCACTGGTCCAGTAGTTAAAAAGAAATGCAATGACAAAAATAAAAAGAAGAACACCACCACCACCAACAACAACAACAACGTAATAATGTCAGTAATAAAGTAATGATCCATGGGTCCATTTCGTGTCCAATGAAATTTATATAAAATAAGGATTACTTACGTTCCAGTAGTCTCCGTATACAGAGTAGTATTATATATTGTGATAACTTTGTCCAATGTCGTGTTTGGTAACGTTGTGATATTGCAGGCTTGTGTAGATAAAGGCAACGCAGTCGCAGTGTCAGCAGAATACACCATAGCCGATATTCCAATCCATCCTGTACAAGCAAGTCCTAGTAGAAGTCCTCCAAATGAGCCCTGTTGAAAAATGCGAGACATATATCTCAAAGTTTCTTGCTTATGGTGTTTTTTAACCAGGTAAAATGAAATGTCGATAAATATCTAATATTAAAATTAACTTTGTACTGTTCAATATATCAATTAGTGATAAATATACATTTCCTAAAATATCATCTCACCTTGTAATCTATCCATGGCATAAGTATACCAATTGTGAATAACCCAAGAATTGGACCACCAAAAAAACCGATAATTGATGACACTGCTTGCATAACGTTCGATTGTGAAAGAGATAGGAAATAGGCCAATAGCATGACGAGTCCCCCAAAGAATAGACCTGTAAATGAATATATTGCTGCACTCCAATATACAAAAAGAACTAAGTTTAATATTTGTATGGAATATTGAAGCAAAATTCTATTTATTTT